TGTATATAAGACCATGTGTATATTGTAACTTTAGTTAGTCTGATGATGATTTTGTAATAAAATCGAAATATTACTCACTCACTTTCTTGTTTGACTCATATTTTGGGTTTCAAGATGCTTATCTTCGGATTATGTTTTGTATTATATTTTTTGAAATTGTCGGCTGGTATTGGTTTTTAGTGCAAATAACCTCAACAAATACACATTAAATCACATTAAATCACACACAATACTGAATGCTGTCCTTCTATAAATTTAATTATTTCATAAGTAGGATGTAAAGCGAGCAAGCATGGCAAACAATTGCTCTGTTTGTCAGTGTCCAAATACGAAATATTTATGTGTAAATTTCAAGCTTTCAAGGGCTTTTCAAACGCCCTTGAAATTGATCTAGCTATTTTCAATTTACTCACTTTTCAAGCAGTTTATGCACATTGCACAAACCAGTCGTGATATTACAGTCAGGCGGTGATGAAAATCAATTATTAAATCAAAGAATTTAGTTTATGTGCCCTATAATGTATATAAAATCATGCGGTGTTGACTGTTGACTGTTCATTCAAATATATAAAACGAAAGTATACACACAGATGGTTACATATAAACGAACTTTGGGTAGCCTATAAATACACAAACAAGAATTTAATAAGATCGGCTGAAATATTTATCTAATACAATTTGTCAAATCCAGCATCATTAATAGGCTTTTCTTCTGAGGCTTTATAAAAGCTTTTATAGCTTTAATACTGATAACAGTAATTTGATAATCAGACACACTTACAGCTGTATTTAATATTTTAGCACGTTTGCGCAAAATGTACAGAATGCATTCAAAATACTGAACAAAAGTCAACACAACTTACCTCAAATCTGTGCTCGAATTAAAGAAAATGGAACGATTTGAACGGCGCAGAAAGTCAGAAACAGTCACACAACTTTTGTCTTTTTCCAAAGACCAAAACAAAGAGTGAACCAAAATCCACAATCTCATGTAGTCATGTGACTATGACATGATGACGACATACTTCCGAGCTTTACTGTAACCGGCCACCATCTTCGTACGGGCTTCGGCCACTTCGGCTTTGTTCGTGGCTTCGTGCGAACATAAACAACATGGCGAACCTCCGTCCCCGTGTACGTGAAATCATTCATTGAAATATATAAATCTTGGTCATATTTTAGGCATCTTTGGTTGTATAAAGTCTACAAACAAGGTACGTGACAGTTGTACCAGCCACTGGTAGCATGCTGCTGCTATGAAAGCCAAAGGAAGCCAGTGTATTTAGGACGACCTGAATTGTAGTTGCGAAGGCGAAAATATACACGTTTTCTAACCTCAACCAGCGAAAGTGCACTGTACAGGGATGTCTTTGAGGCAGTCGGGAGGCTAGAAATTTGCACAAACAGAAAAGTTATGAAACTAGTTTCGCCTAGAAATTTTATATGAACATTTGGCAGACAGAAAAGAAAGGTCTCGATTTTCATTGCACTGTTTCGGAGACTCGAAGCATGTTTAAAATTCATATTTAGCAAAATTGTCTACTCTTAGGCAATGTACAAATTACATACAGTAGATGCAATAATCTGTATACAATTATGTGTATTATTTTAGGAAAAAATATGGCAGAAGCGAATACTAGTGAGTTAACCAATCATCTGGGTCAATTTACTAGTCCAGAAGAGTTTGTTAATGCTGAGCAGTTTGACCCTCTTAAAGAAGAGTATACCAGAGTTAGTATAAACAGGGTCTTAGCCAGAATTTTGGGGGTGTTTCATTTATATTTTGTCGGGCGGTTCATAATTTATATTGTATAACAAAATATAAAAAATTTCACGCGGCTCTTAAAATAAAGTCCGGCGGTGATGAGAATCAAGGAATTTATTTTATGTGACTTAATGTTTCTGGTTTTAATAAAACAGATATGAATAGTTCATATTCCAGTAAGGTGTATAAAGTATCAGCGGTAGAGGGGGACAATGGGAGGGTGTTGAGTTCTGTTTGGCTGGTGCTTATCACAGGAAAAAAAATTAAATTTCCATTAATGGTTTGAATGGTTTTTTAAAGATTCACCATTATTGGTTACTATAGATTTCCCATATGGTAAATTGATAATTTTTAAACCATGATAAGTTTTTGTTGATAGGGTTGCAACTACCTGAAAAATACAAAGCAAAAATCAGCGCCCTTTGTCGGGAAGTTAGAGGTTAAGTACATAGTACTAACTTCACAACAAAGGGCACTCGATATGTCGAATTTTGCTTTGTATTTTTCATGTAGTTGCATTCCATCCCAACAAAAGCTTGTTATTGTTGGCACTACCTACACTGGAACATGGCCCAGCTAAGCGAGTTGACTTTTGAATTACGATCACATGTAACCGGGTTCACCCGACTAAGGGGCTGTTTACATGAGCCCTACAGGGAGGGCTGGCCCTACTAGGCGAGATCCTGCGTGCTATTTGAAATCCTTATTAAAAATTGTTTACATGTTATTGTACATGAAAAGAGGGCCAGCCCTCCTAGGCGAGATCTCACTATTATTCACCCGAGATCTCGCCTAGTAGGGCTGGAATTTTCTCATATAAACGCAGTAGAGATGGCTGGCCCTGCTGGTAGGGCTGAGTGAAGAAGCCGTCGAATCGATTTTAGACTAAACTCTTTGAACCTTTTTTTTTTGTTTTAAGGATGTAGTTCTAAACGGATATTCAATTGTCTGTTGGCTTTTATTCCAAAATTTAGTCGGCAAACTATGATTTTGGATGCCAATATAAAAATAATGAGTCGCACGGAAGCCATTAAGTGCTACTTGCGAAAGGAAGCTATCCCTACCAGTAGGGCTGACTTTTCTCAAGTAAACAAGCGGTGAAAATTAGCCCTACTGCTAGGGCTAGGTATTGATTAAATAGAGAATAATACATGGGTGCGCGGAAATACCAGATTTATTTCGAGTGTTGAACATGATATCTCACGAGTGAGCGCAGCGAATGAGTGAGATATCATGTTCAACACGAGAAATAAATCTGGTATTTCCAAGCAGCCATGTATTTTTCTGTTTATTATATAAACAAAATTCAGTGAAAAACAATAAAACGTCCATGGCAATACGTTTTACAACAAATGATATTTTCACACGTAAAAATATCGTATTTTTTACGTGTGTTTAAATACGATTTTTCTCAGTGGCCAAAAACTCTATATAACACTTATGTTTATATAATAAAGATGGTTTATATATGTTGTATTTTAGGGTTTCCTCATGCACAGAACGGTGTTGATTGCGGCAATTATATTTAGTATTGGCCGCTCGTATAATTCTCGTAAAATGCAGTGACTTCACTGTCCCATACTTAAAAGTGCTTAATTAATATTGAAACACAAAAACAGCATTCTGGTGTTAGAGTTTTTAAACTTATATATTTGTTTACATTCTCAAAACTAAAACTGCATGTGTGTGAGTTTTCTGGTGCTTTACCCGGACAACTCAGCAAAATGCAATTACATGGGGAAAATGCAAAATTTTCAACTCAGCCAACCGAGTTGTCTTGGTTGTCAACAAGCGAGGTCTTGCCCAGGTGAGTTAGCCTGTTACCCATATAATCACATTATTGTTTGTAATAGTATTTACTGTAGAAGCCTTGGTATCTGTAAAATTGACTCACCTCCGCTAGCCAGAACAACTCGGCTCATGTAATCAGCCCCTGAAGGTTTTCTGGTAAATATTAAACATCACAGTTTTTACTAATTTCTTTGTACAATAACAAACAGTCTTACACTTTGAGCAGATCTTTATAGTAGTAGTAAATTGTCTTTTCCCACAACTTGCACACAACTGTGACTTTTCACTTCTGTTTTCAACTACTTCCTGTCCCTCAGTGGTAGTCCCTGTCCGCTTTCCATAGACTGTCGCTTGCACCCTCTGGCATAATGCTCACCCGAACCTCAAATATAGCAATGATAGCAGTCATTCTTTCCTTGTTTTTGACATGATACACAAGCAGGTATCCTTGGGTGTCATTTGCTGCTGTACTCATTCGTCGTAAATCTAATGTCCTTACAAGGAAATCTTGTGCTGTTTAGTTCCTGGTATGACTCAGTTGCACTTTTCTGCTTATAATGTGCTTTTAATACTCGCAATAACAGTTCCAGTTCTTTGATTGTTTCAACATGTGTTGAAGTTTCAAAGTTGGACTTATTGCATGTACAGCTGCTTTAATAATCATCTCATTTTGAGGGTATCCTTTTACCGCCTTCCCAGTGTCAATTTGTCATGTTGACCGACTGTCTGGCAAATGGCAGTCTATCTTTTTGACTATCAAATTATACCAATTATTTTAAACTCTTATCTATAAACAGTAAGATTACCTTGTTTCACTTTAAGAATTACCCATATTTTCCTCGTTATTTGTGTCGTGTTAAGTTTCAATCATTTGGTGGGGCTCATCATTGAACTGATTGTCCATTCCATCCGATAAGTACTTCATTTTACCAGTAGTAGAGAGGTTCACTACCACTCTGTGTGTCACTGCTTCCATACCATTTTCGGTTTTCCGTATGACTTTCAATTTCCTTTTGACTTGTTGACAAAGACTTGTCTTTTGTGATAGTTGTAGATGAATGTCTTTTTATGGCATAGTTAATACGGTCGTCTGTGTTAACTATGGTCTTTCTTAGAAGCATGTGACACGTCAGGTTTGTTCACTCAGCTGCGGTTAATAGGTTATTGACGTTCGCTTCAGGTTGCAAAAGGCAAAAGCCGTGCCTCATGAATCATGATCCGTAAATGTTGTCGGTGTTGCGATTTTTCCTGACAAAACTACAAACATTTTACGCTTTATACCATTCACTATAGTGTATTAATAGTGAACGTCTTTCAGAAATTGGGGAACTACACGCGTATCACGCGTTTCTACGATTTTTCCCGACTTCACATCATGCGCTAAAAACCGGCTTAAAAATAGTTTTCTCAAATGCGCAAAAGTCTGAAGATGGATCCGTAATTCTACGATTTATAAGTAATTCTACATTTTGTATGTGGAAATTCAAATCTGAATATGAATCTGTAAATGAACCTGAAACTGTAGAGCCGATCGTACTACTTCAGTAGTTGAGAACGAAAGTAGCTTCCTTCCATTTCCATGAGCTGTAATTCTTCAAAATCCTTCTGTTCAGCCATCTTGCCACAACTTTATTGATAATAGTTTTGTACAAATTCGCCCATTCACTTCTTGGCAACTCGCCAACATACCGTATATAGTATATGACGAAGATATCTCTCCGATGGCTCCAAAATGTTACCCAATTCACGAAATAAACACTCGTAATATGTCAAACGAGTTAATTAAGCAGTTGCATTACATAAATAGATTATAAGTTGGTTTGAAAGGTCTTCTATCGACCCGAGCTTTTCTTCTCTTTTTTTTCTTGTATTAACGGAAGCACAGAATGGCTTGAATGGGGACTCGATT